AGAGAGAGAGAGAGAGAACATCAATGTGAGAGAGAAACATCGATCAGGTGCCCCCTGTACACACCCTGACCGCGGATCGAACCCGCAACCTTTTGGTGTGTGGGATGATGCTCCAACCAACCGAGCCCACCCAGCCAGGGCACATACATATTATTTTAAAGTGTAGATCAATCACAACCAAAAAAGGGAGCGGGGGAATGTGGGAAAGTTCATTTTAGTACAACTCATGCCTGTTCCTTCTCTTCTCCGCAAGAGACCCGATGGCCAGCCCACCCTCTTCAGTGCCACCCACGCCACCCTCCGGGGTCACCAGGGGGCTTTCTCCTCCCCGCCCCGCGTGTGTCTGTGTGGCACAGAGAGTGACCTGGGTCCTAGGAGAACACCGTGAGTCGTCCGGGCCTTTGTCAGGAATAGCCGCTCACAAAGACGCGTGTCTCGGTCCTTTCGGAAGCCCTTGGCTAAAGTCACTTCTCTTCCTCTCAGCCACTGTCTCCCACTCGTCTGAAAGGCAGCCTCCCCGTGCAGCTCCCCGAACAATGAAAGACAACGACAAGGAGAATGAGAAGGCCCTGGGTGAGGAACGCACGCGAAGGCGCAACGGCCCCGAGCAGGACGGACGGATGCTGTGCCTGGGAGAGGCGGCCATGGCACGGGTGCGGCGGAGGGGTTTCGCTCTATAGCGCTGGGAAACGGCACTCTTTTGAAAGTGGGCAAGCAGACAGTTCCCAGGGCCGCCAACGCAAACGCAGCCGGCTGAGACCAGCAGCCCCGGGCCTGCCGCTGGCACCCGCGCGGCGCCCCGCAACCAGCACCCTGCAGCCAGGGGCCCAGGACGTCCCAGAGAAGGGGCTGCCCGCTCAGTGACAAAATGGGCTACAGCCATGCACACGGGGCAGCCCTTCAAAGGTCTGAACAGCAGCTTGAGAGGAACCTACTCTCCTAAAAATACAAACCAGTTTCTGGGCACAGTCAAAATGGGGGCAACCGAGAGAGCGCAGGGCACAAGAAGACGGTCTCCCTCCCTGGCCTGTTCCCCTGCCCTTTGCCAGCTCTCTGTGACCGTGCAGCGCAGAACTGGGCTGGCCCTGCACCGTCAAGGCGAAGGTCCAGATTCATAGGTTCTTGGCTGGTCTGTAAATAAGCTACATGGGCCCTGGCACTGAACTCGTACGTGACACTGTGTAAGTGCACGCGTGCATTACCCCCTCCCCCAGCCCCCGGGACGAGGCTTCCAAAGGATTTTCAAAATGATCCGTGATGCTCCCAAAAGATTAAAAGTCACATTCTGAGAGAAGCTGGAAGGCTTTGTGGTGGCTTCTCTTCCCTCGTTCACGGTGTAGTTGATGATATGGTCTGCTAGATTTCCTCTTTGGTTCTAAAATGAATTAACTAAAGCCACGCTCCCTGATTGATCAATTCCTTTCTGACTGATTAGGGACTCGGACAGGGCCGGAAGCGTCCCTAGATTTCATGTTAAAATTTCGTGAACGTCTCCCAGCTGCAGCCGTGGTACACGGTCTCACAGCCGAAAATATCCGCAGCACCTGCCTTAGGTGCTCAGGTAAACTGCTAATTAACTTCGCCAAAGAGAATTCCTTTGCATCCTGAACTTCCATTTTCTGGAGGGAGGGAGAGTCCCAGAGTGTGCGGTTAAGTGTGAGCGGTTCTGAACAGCAACCTGTGTGTTCAGTACAACCTCTCATCGCCTGGCGGCTGCTATTTCTTCTTCCTTGGCAAAGGGACGGTCACTTCGTACGGCGACACCGAGTCAAAGCGAGAAAATGCAACGGGCCAGACATAACCTGAACAAGATTGAAAACCGACCGGAGAGAAGGGAGGGCGGGGAGGGGAGGGGAGGGGAGGAGGTTTGGGCTGCCGAAGGCCTCGCCGATCTGTTTTAGGGGACAGTGTTGTCGGCAAGGCCGCCAAAGCTGGACGGGCAGGTTTTCCCAGTTGTGGGCTGAACCTGAGGTTAGGAGCTGTGATCTGGACATCAGCCAGTCCCAGACAAATCAGTTTTGCAGAACGGAAAAAAAGAACCCTTCCATGTTCAACCTCTGGCAATTCCTCCAAGCTTGACAATTCCTGCAGACGAGCAGCTGGTAAAAGAAAAGGGAGTTTCTTTTTCTCCCCTTCACTGGGAACGGAGCGCGGGGCCCTTGGCGAATCCGCCAGGCCCGGCCTCGGGGCAGAGCATGAAACTGCAGGGCTCCGTGTGGACCAGCCAACACCAGGGCCCCTCGGCCACTGCCTGGTGTGTTGGTGCCAATACGTGCTCACAGGCACATATTCAAAGTCAGAAAACAAGATAGAAAATCCTCTTAAGATCCCTTAAAAAAACGTAATGAAGCTTTTAAAGGGCGAGATTCAGTGTGGAAGACAGAGGCTAATTGTCAAAATTAGTGAGAATCATCAGCTGTCTTCACAATGGGAAGGAAATTACCAAAAAAAAAAAAAAAATCTGGCAGGCTTTGATGTTGACATTCACCCTTGAAAGAGTAAAATCAAGCTGCATTTTACGACTATGGCGAGAAATTATGAGACAAACAGGGCCTTTTGACAGCTCACTTTGTCTTGTAGTACCGACCAAAGAAATAAAAAAAAAATCACTCAAGACCAACAATACACGCAGTAACCTTAACTGGGTCAGACGCTCAGTCGGGGTTCCTGGAGTCTGGAAGCCCTGTTCCTGCTCGTGGGAGGCAGAGGCTCCCCAAAACAGATACTGTCTGTTTATGCCATTTCAATTAATTTTCTCATTCCAGGTTATCAGAAGACAGCCCAGCCTTGTTGTAGCTATTTTACTCTTTGGGTTCTATGCAAACTCAAGGGCGTACTGGCAGGGATCAGGCAGCCAAGTGCAAACAATCCACACCTTGGGGAAACAGTTCACTGTTACCCAAGTAAACACAAGCACCTATTAGTCACCCACTCAAAACAGAAGCGGCCAATGGGATGACAGACCAGCCCCCAACGCCAGAAAAGGAAGCGCGCCGTCTTCCCCGCCTCCTCTATTATCACCGGCTCCACGACGGAACTTCTCCTGGAAAAATGTCGCTGGTGCGGGCCACTGCATAGTTTCCAAAACTTTTATAACCTAAACCTGACACGGGGACCCACACAGAGGCACAGTATGATACTGTCACTTTCTCTGGAAAGGCAACCAAAGGATACTCGGCTCTGAGTTCCGAGGAGTGGAAATCCACAAGAGCTGGATTAAGACTGTTAGCCAGGCTGGTAGGCATGGACCGGGGGGGCGGGGCCTCGGTTTTTTATTGGCTTCTCACCCACTCTTCCAGCTACTCACCCAGAGCCTTCATTGAAGATGTTTTCCAAACACCCATCCCTGCATCATGATGTGAATTCCATTTACTGAAAGGCGGGGACTTTTAATATAACAAGTGAACCCATTTAATGACTTACTGTTCTCTACCTTAGAGCATCCCTCATGCTTTCAATAAGTGGATATAATTCTCTTTGCACTACCCTATTATTAAGATAGTACTGCGAACATATATTTTCAATCATTTTATGTTTTCTAAATTTTCCCTACCGAAGATTCTATTTTGGGAATGCTCCGGACAGCTAGGGTAGCAAAAACCACAGCCAAAAAAACCAACGTGCCTTTCCCCTTTTCCCCTCTTCGACTAATCAAATTCCCTAAGAACACAGATTCTCTTATATTTTTGAAAGCCTTTAGAAAAAGCAATGATGACTCTTCTATTTAAATGTCCACTGATTGTACTTTCATTTTTTTCAATGCAAGAGTCACCTACTGTTATTTGGGTATTTATCATACTTTTTTATTTTACTTAAAAGAACTTTTATTTTCCAAAGATGAGATTTTCAAAACAAACTCCCCCACCGCTCTCCGTGAGCCCTCCAGTGCTTACGGCCGCTCACAGTGCGGCGTCGGCCCCTGCAGCCGGGGCCGGGGCCAAGGGCGGCCCTCCTCCGCCGCCTCCGCCTCCTCCAAAAGTTTGGAAATGGGCAGAAAAGACCATATTTTGCCATGTAAAATGCACACCCATGTTTTTGGCCCAAACTTTCAGGGAAAAAAAATATTTCATTTTAATTTTTTAATTCGACTTTTTATTTATTTACACTTAGATACTTGGGTTTCTTTTGTGTATTATAAAGGAATTTTAGCATGTATTTTTGAACATATTACGGTACAAGAAATTTTATGTAATAATTACAAAACACAAGAACAGATACAAGGCAATTCATGTACTACCCATGTATAATGTGCATCCTCATTTTTCCCTCAAAAATTTGGGCAAAAAGTGCGCATGAAACACAGCGAACTATGGTACTAACACCGCACAGAGACCTGCCCTAACGCACACCGTTCCCCGGGGTAACCCAGGCCTTAATGTTGCTGGTACCTGAGGTGTTAACTGGGCCCCACCCGGCCCCCCAAGTTACAGCATGGCACCCCAATTCCATTTAATAGGAAGGCCACACTGCTGTCAGATTTACCCAACGAGAATGGTACGGCCACCATTTCTGTATCTTTTACCATCAAAAGTTCAGCCTACTTGAAACAGCATTTCCAAAATCATGTACTATACAGTCCTTAACATGATGGGAGGTGGCCATCTGAAACTCTGTCGCCTGCCACAAATAGCGCACAGACCTGGGCTGAGGCCCCCGTGCGTGGATCTCTGGGGACTGTCCAAGAGAACCCAGAGGTGCAATGTGAGTCTCCATGACGGCGAGTTTCGTATTTTTACTCTTTAGGGAGGCGCTGAGGGGTTTCCTTGAAATTCACGATTTATGGTTTACATGTTGCAAATCAGAAAACAAGGAGGAAAAGCTAGACTCTATTAAAAATGTTAAATTTTAAGTATTTTTTTTAAAAGCTTTGATGTAGCAATAATAACAAGCAGACCGTGTTTCTAGGAAACCCATCACAGAAACTTCTGGAGGTTTTGAGGTTCGGGTGGGTTGCCACATAAACACTTTGCGTTTCAAGTTCGGTTATGGCAGATACATACCTCTCCCGCTGCGCCCGACAAACCTGAGGTCATTGAACCTCGCGACTTGGTTCTTCATGGCCGCGGTGGCGTTTCTCAGCTCGGCCGAGTAGTTTTCGTCATTGCCGGCCATCACGGTGACCAGAGTACCGTCTGGAACGTCCCCCAGGGCCACCACCTACACACCAGTCAAGGGACAAATGCAAACGTCAGGAATGGCACAAATTTTGCTGTCATTTATGGAATAATTGTTCTAAAATGAAATGGGTATTATGTGACCCGCGTTAGTTTGCCAAGGAAGAGCAAATCTAAATTAAGCAAAACAGCAGAAAAGCTATGAATGGGAAGATTTGCTTTTAATTCGGTAACGCAGAGCTAAATATAAAATTTCAGATCATCAAACGTCCACCTCAGAAAGCCACGTAAGGTCACACAGCTCAGCTGGGGCAAGGCGAACCGCAGTGAGGGCCTGGAAAGGCCGCGCTTCCTCACAGACACTCATCTCTTCTCAACTCCTCAAATGTGAAAAACAGTCCACTTCCCACTGGCCCGACCTCCCCGGACAGGCCCGAAAGGGCCAGCTTGACTTGTAGGCGTTTCAACTTATTGCTGCTAAAATTGAAATTGTTACAACGGAATTGCTGACGACTCCTGAGCGACGGACACTGTCCCTTTGTGGTCCACCTTGGAAGCCCCTCCTCAGGTCTCCTGTCTCGATTTTCAGCAGCAGTGAACCCTGACACACCAGGGAAAAAATCAGAAATGCGTCCTGTGTTTCTTAGCCATTACAAAGCTGACAGACCTGGGTGACGGGGGCGGGGGGGGGGGGGGCTCACTGCCTGCGCCCCTGTGAGCTCGGGAAGGGACGACGTCACATCGGGGGGCCTGGGGGTCCCAGAGGCGCGTTCCCTGCGTCCTAACAGACGCCTGTGGTTACCTCCGACCCCATGGATCTGAAAGGGGAACTGCTTTAACGCCTCTGAACCAAAATGGATCCCTATCAGGGCTGCTGAAGGAAACGGGCAGGCGCCTATTTTTGATGCTCCAGTAATAATAAAGCGAGTCATTTCAAAGCAGCGTGCCCCGGAGAGGACAACCCAAATGCTGCTTCGGGGAGGAGCATTCATTGCTTGGCCATCACGGGACCCTAAAATGAGCCACTATTTTCTTGGTCTAGAAATTTATCCTGAGCTACATTTCCATTGTTTCTACTTTTCTCTAGTGATCAGAGAATTTCAAGCGAAAATGTCCCCAGTTTTTCTTGTTCTCGTCATTGCTGATATTTCTCATCAGCAGTGAAATCTGTGCTATTCACCCCAGTGATACAGTTATTCACATCGCGGTTTTGCTTTTGAGTCAGGACAGCGAAGCCCCTACAGCGCTGACCTCTTCTCCTGGTTTCCACCTCCCAAGCTTTGCCTCATCATTGCGGCCTAAATTTTTGGCTAATACCTATGTTTTCAGGCCTTTTCTGTCTGGAAATGAGGCTGCCCAAGGGTCACGTGCATGAAAGCAGAGCCTTGCTGCTCGACATTCCAGCTGCGCGGCCTGCTTAGTCATCGCCCCTTCCCCACGCCCTCCACGCGACCGTCTGTCGTTTCTGTTCATCCTGATGCTTCAGCTCCTGGGTTCCAAGAAGTGTGACAAGTGACCCAGCTCGCTCTGGGGGGCGGGGGGGATGGCGGGCTGGCCCCAGGAATACGGGCTCTCAGGCACTGGGCACTTTCTCACCTATTTATCCAACTTGCTCCGTCCAACAAGGTCTGGTCTTTTATCTTTCTTTCTAATCATTTCCATCCAAGTGTGGGACTTTTTTTTTTTTTTTTAAATAAAGGAGATTTAAAAACACAGCTATTTATTCCCCAAGCACCCTCTAATTAGGTATTTAGTTCCCATTATAAAGGTGATGTTGCCGTTTAATTAAGAGCAGTAAAAAGACAATTCCCTTTTGTTTCAAAAACAGCCCTGAAATAAATCTCCCTGATCAGTTATTCAGTTATTGTTGCCATTTCCCCTATTCCCACAAAATGTGCTGGCTTTATTCTGCTCTTAAAAAATTCAGAGTCTTACAAATTTTTCCACTTTTTCTTTTTTTCTCCATTTTCAGTTCCCTCTGTAAAATTAGCTCACAGTGTCGACATGTCCCCCTTGAACACATATTTTTACTTCCTCATCCCCATCTTCCTGTGATGGCCTGGCTTCTTGATTTTCATTCAACCCTCAGTAAGGATCAGCCACATGGTTTTCACACTGAACCACTCCTGTGAAGAGGTTAAAGTAAATCACTCTCGTTTTATAACTCCCCACACGGATTCCGCACCACCTTCCCCCTGGCGTGCTCCTCCTCGCCCCGTGCTCCCTGCCCGGCCCCGCTCTCCTTCCCAGGGCTGCCCTTGGCAGGGGCCACGGAAGGCAGGAAGCCTTCCCCAAGCAGAAGCGGGCGCAGGGCAAACTGATCATGGCGGCTAAATGGGAAAGACTGTGGAGGGTGGAATTTGAGACTTAAAAAGTTAGGAGTTTAACTCCTACCTCTCAGTTTATAAAAAAAAGAAAACAATGCAGCAGGAATCAAAGATATTTGGGTGCTCAAAGAGCATTTACTTAGCCTTTTGTTGGTCTTGGAGGGATTTTTTTTTTTTTCATGTGGGGAGGACGAAGAATATTAAATCCAGGAAAATTACATTAATTTAGATAACATATATCATCTAATGATTAACAACCACATTGAGACTAGGTAAAACAATTTTTAAAAATTTAAAACTAACATGCCTGCTAATTTGAAAGACTTTTATCATTGATAAGCAATATAAAGAGAATTTAGAAACCTAACTTTAAACAGGAAAAAAAAAAAAGCAACTGGAATGAAAAGCTATAAACAAAAGGCGAGGAAACACAAACATTTTCCTTTTAGAACAGACCAAACAGGCAAGAAGGGACTTGTTGGCCAAAGGGCATCTCATATTTTGTTTTACTTCTCTGTTTTTAAAGTATCAGGAAGTTGGGCAAAAGATCAGCCCTCCTATACAGGGACCTAACCACACTGCTCTTGGCTAGCCTGTTCACAGTTCAAACTGCCATTTAAACCAACCCTAATTAGACTGAAATTACAGTTACAATTCATTTATTTCAAATCCCTTAATTTTCCACTGTTTCAAAGAAGGCTATGAAGTGGAACTTAGAACTCAGCCGAGATGACGTTTAATGCAAAGCTCAGGACTGCGAGCTCACCGACAGAAACATGACTTACTTCTTTCTTATGAAAAAATATGACCGTCAGCATCCACGGCCTCTGAACTTGCTGAAGGCATGTTTATTTTGTGCCTGTGGATTCTGTGTACCGGGGCCTAAACAAACTGGAATAGTACCATATTACGAAACATATACTAAGTCACCCAAACAGCCTTTTAGGCTGCTTCCGTAAATAATGGGTAACATGGAGCAAATTGAAGATTTCCTCAGGAGTCCAATATGCATCTCTCCTACCCTAAAAAATAAAGGCGGGGGGGGGGGCACGTCGGGGTCCAAGATAAGCAATTAGAATGATTCTAATCTATTTTAAGGAAAATTCATAATTTTAATCTCCCTCTAGTTTCAAAGATTAAAGCAGAAGATTTACACCTAGAATTTCCGAAGACTCTTAAGGAAAGACTTAAATGCTCTTTTCATCAATATCATCAGACTTTATCACTGTTGCCCGTTTTTCCTCCTTATTACAGGGAACATAATAATTCTCAACTGATTAACTTCTTAAAGAGATTGTCTGAGGCTTATTTAAAAATCCAATTTTTAAAGGAATCATTTCTGTGGAAGCTGCCTGGGCGGCGGCTGGGTGGCGGGTGCGGAGGGGAGCGGGCCGGGCGAGGCAGGCAGGGCACGCAGCCCCCTTTGCGGCCCAGGCTGCTTTTATCCCTGCCCTCTGTGCGCGGATCCTCCTGGAAAGCCCATCTGTTCCCTCAGCTCCGGGAGGAGCAGGTCCCCTTCGGGAAGGGGCCGCTCTTAGTGGGGACTGAGGTGATGACAGATATTAATCAAGTGGTCTGATTTCTCTGCTGTCCTTTCCTGCCCCCCAAATGTTCTCAAGACCCATGAACTTTTTTCCAGAGCTCTCTACCTTGATCTTTTAGGAGCCTACAAAACCATCACCCCATAAAACAAAGGAGATGAAAACAAAAAGAGCAAATAGGCAAAAGTCATGTTTAAAAAGAATCCTCGACGGTTATTAAGATTTCTGCTTAAAAACAACAACAACAACTCCCTCATGGCTCATAAAAGCAATTTATATGATTTTTTTTTTCATTCTTTCAGCAGAAAATAAATACTTTCATGTGGTGGCTTGAGAAACTACCTCTCTCAACTCCTGAAGGTTCTTCATTTGTCACGCAGGGTTTTGGGCGTGGGTTTCCTGGCCCAGGAGGGCGGATTCAGAGGCCACCCTGATTCACCCCAGAGGAAGCCACAGAACCCTCAGTGGGTCAGGGGCCTCGGCTTTAAATGGCCTTTGGCTAAGGACTGGTCTGCCTCCTCCGTCTGCCTGGGGGCCCCGAGTTTCCAGGAGGGGACGCAGTGCCCCCGGAGAGCTGAGTCTCTTTAGGTAAAGGGATTAGAATGATTTCAAATTGAAATGGGCTCCCAAGCAAATCTGCATAAAGGGAGGAAGGGCAGGGGAAGAGCCGGGGCCTGGTTCGCCTTATCTTCACTTCCACACCCTCCGCACCTCCTGCTTTCAGAAACCAGAGAACGGGCGGCGAATCTGGAGGCACAACTAGCCGTACAGTTTGTTCTGTCTTAGAAACCCTGATCGAAGTTTGGAAGGCGTATCAGACTTAAAAATTACAGAACTCTGACGGTCCTTTTCAAAAGAGCAAACATTCTTCCTTGTAAGTAGATCAAGATCCCAGCAAGGCCCAGAACCATAAAAAAAGCTTGTATTAAATTAAAAAAAGCTTGATCTCCCCTTAAAGGGGACAGTTATTTAATCAAATGAAAAAAAAAAAGAGTAGCCGATCTTTACAGCCTTTTTTTTCACCTGCCTGCCTTTGGCCCCTTAAATGAACAGGAAGCAATTGTACCGATTATACTAAAAAGCTTACGCTTCTTAAACCCACCCAAAACAGAAGAACAGAGTCCCCACGGCCGAAATTAAACTCCTGCTGTTCGCTGCCAGAGTGGTGGAGTGGTTGTTTAAAAACTCCCGGGGTTGTTTACATATCCCCGTTTAAGGCCAAGGTTTTTAAAAGCAGCTGAAAGCGAGTGCAACATCAGGGGTTTGGGCCACTCAGCTGAAGTTGCCTGGTCTACCCGCCCGGGTCCTCAAAGGCAGACCCCGGGCGGATCAGACGCCGGATCGCGAAGCACAGCCTGGCCACCTTCGGCTGCCCGGGGCTGGGCTTAATCTAGGTGAGCCGGCGATAACGCGCAGAAGGGCTCCAGGAAAGAAACCGGAGTCACTCCTCGCCGCTTCTGGCAGGATCAGGCTCGAGGCTTGCTTCGAAAACTTTCGCAAACTTAACTACGCCCGCGGTAGACCTCAGACATGCTAATTCCTACCGGGGTGTTAAAGGTGGGGGTGGGGGGGCCGACAGTCCCCCTGATCAGCCTATTTTCACCGACCCGAAGCTATGAAAGTATATTATTTCTCCATGCTCCGTCGAAAGGAGGCAGGATAGTTTGGGTGCTGGGCCAGCGGTGGCAAGAGAGGACTGGGGAGCAGTCAGCCTGGTCCCCGCCGCGTTATCACTTTTCCTACGTTGTTTCAAAGCTAAAGACCCCCCGCTAGGGAGGTCCCCGCCGGCCCTCCGTGGACGTGTTTGGGGCCATCCTGAGTTTTGCAGTCCTCTCCGGAGGGAGCCCCGATGGGCCTAGGCGGGTCCCTTGGAGGGTCGCCACGGCAACGCAGCATCCCCCGGCTCCCAAGAGCGCCGGGGGATGGACTAGGGGCCGGACCCGCCCGCCTGGCCGCCGGCCTCCCGGATCGCCCCGGCGTCCGCCGGCCTCCGCCCGTCCTCCCACCACCCGTTCCGGGCCGAGTACCTTGAAAGCGATGGGCAGAGTCTTGTTGCAGCGCCAGTGCGTGGGCAGCACGGAGCAGAGGAAGTTGGGGCTGTCGGTGCGCACCAGCTCGCCCGGGTGGTCGGCCAGCACCTCCACCATGCTGCGGTCCCCGCTCCTCAGCTTGCCGGCCAAGGCGGCGCCAGCGTCCGGGGCGCCCAGCGGCAGCGCCTCGCTCATCTTGCCCGGGCTCAGCGTGGTGGAAGGCGGCGTGAAGCGGCGGCTCGTGCTGGCATCTACGGGGATACGCATCACAACAAGCCGGTTGAGTTAGGACCCTGCAAACAGCTCCTACCAGAGGGCGACAGGGGCGCGGATCTTCAACAAGCAGCTCCCGGGAGACCAACATACAAGTTCAGGGGCCTTTATTGCTGCGGGGGTGGGGGGTGGGGGTGGGGGTGGGGGAGGGGGCTGACTTAAGTTACTAGCTGTCCCGGAGGGGGAAAGTTCTAGTTCTGCCGACGGGCCTCAGACCCGGGCAGGGCTCCCAGCATCCGACCGCTTAGTGCTTTAAAAAGTGGGCGACCAGGATCCAAAGCCAAATGCCAAGGGAGACTATCTTCTTCTGATTCTTGCTTTGAGAGTTTAAGTTAAGTCTTTGGCTGTTACAAAAGTTCCGGGAGGCAAAATTCCCATACACTTCCTAAAATATTTATGCGGAGAGAAAAAGGACACATAATTTGGAAGTTCCAGTGGTCAATCGCCGTGTCAGTTTTTCCGGGTGAGTTTTGTCTAAAGTCCCAACACAACAGAAAACACAGGGTTGTCTTCCACATACATCACCACTTTTATCATGCAAAACTGGCTTCAGTCCTCAAAAGCAAGAACTGCTACTTCCAAAGGTCCTGCTATTAATGTATGTGCATATACATACACATATAAATATATATACATATGCTCTACTTCATAAAATATTTACAATACAATCTGTAGAGAATTTAAACACAACAGAAATCCATTAATGTTTGCTGAAGGTTTGTTTTTTTTTTTTTTAAGTAGCCTTGAAAATCAGCTTCAGTAGTTGGAGAAGGGCTGGGCTAGAAATACTTGTCATGGTCTCTCAATAAGTTCTGGCAAAATGCTCAGTTCGTAAAAGTCAGCTTTTCAAAGAAAAGCTAATCTTAAAAAAAAAAAAGTCCAAGTTTGATGACACTCAGGGTATAGCTCTCCACATCTGAGAACTCGGGTTTGGGGATGTTGGTTAAGTCTGTGGCTGATCCTGCGGTTTGGTGGCAGCTGAACAGCAGCCGAGTCACACGCACGCAGACACGCACTCTCCCGAAGCCAGCCACTGTCTACACGGACTCCGTGAGTCAGCCCAGACTTGGGCAGCAGCGAGATGGTCTTCCTCCAACGTCGCCCCAGCGCCGGCTGGTTAACTGCCGGGACGCGCCAATACCCACGAGCACCGTGTAACCGCAGCAGGTGAAGCGGGCCTTCCGAGGAGGCACCGCAGCGCAGATCTAAACAGACGGAGCCGCTCGAGGTACCCACGCAAACACTCCCACGCACACCGCCACGCACAGGCAACTTCGCGGCTCGCCTCGAAACAGCGCGCTTTCTCCAGCAGTTGTCAAAGGAAACAACCGGGGAAAAGTTCACAGCCAGGAAAGAAGTTGAACCATCCAGCCAAGAAACCAGTTCATTCAAAAGTAAGAAAGAAAGGGGAAAAAAATCGAAGCTCCAACGCAGGTCAAGGAGAAGCAGCAAAGGTTGACTTTTCTTCTAGCGTACCCAGGAGCCCCGAAAGAGGTGCCTGCCGGCGCAGGGCCGGGCAGCGTGGTGCCCTGGCTGGGTCCGGCCGCGGGGCGCCCGTCCCGCCTGCGCCCGCTGGCTCTATGAATGAGAGTGCCTGGAAATGAACGTGCTTTTACTGTAAGCCCGGCCCGAGGAATTCCATTCCCTCAGCTCGTTTGCATAGGGCGGCCACGGGCCAATCACAGGCCTTTCCGGTATCAACCAGGGCGCGGCTCGCCGCCGCGGGCTCCTGGATTTGGCCCGCGCGCCCCCGCCCCCGCCCCCGCCCGCGCCGCGGCGCGCTACTGTACGCAGCCGGGGTGGGGAGTCAGCGGCCGCCGCGGCCATCCCGCGCTCCCCGCGCGCCCGCATCCGTGCACACACGCAAAGGCTCACACGCTCCCCGAGACCCCGCCCTGCTGCAGACCGCGGCCCTGCGGCTTTTCACCTACGCTGGTTGCGCGGCCGTGGTCCCTGGGGCTGCAGTGCGCAGCGGCGCCACGGGTGGCCGCGGTTCGGGGACCAAAGAGGTGGATGGAAGAAGAGGAGGCCGGCCGGCCGGGAGGACTCGGACCGGGAGCTGCGTCTGGAGCGACCCAGCCCGGCGACCAGCAAGAGGGAGACGCCCCGCGCACCCTGGAAATACAGCGGCCACCGCGAGGCACCCGGGGCCAGAGTCCCCAGGCAGCCCCAGCCCCTGCGGCGGGCGCCCACGGCCGAGCCTCCGCTTCCCCGGCGTGGGTGCTATTCGACCACGAGGGTACCGGAGGGCCGAGGGCCCGGCCTGAGAGTTGCTCTGCGCGGCCCCAAAGCCCGGTTGGCAGCGGCGGAGTGGCGCTGATTCATTTAATGAGGCCAGACGGTTCTCGGTCTCCACAACATGGTTTTTGTGTTTTTAGTTTTCTCTCTTGGCTTGTTTTCTTTAATTGGTGTTTTCGCCGCGTCTGGGCCGCGGCTTAATTACGCAGCGCGCCCCGCTCCGGCTGAGTGTGCTTAGCGGCCGGCAAAGGGGTTTCCCAGTCAGAAAAGACCCCAAAGAACTTGCGACTGGAAAGAAAGTTGAAAGCATCCGCTGGGCCCGTTCCTCGTCCTCGGAGCGGCAGGGCGAAAGCTCCGGCTGGGCCCGGGTCGCCCGCGCCCCGCACCCACCTATGGCACCCCGGAAACGGCCCGGCTCCTCTCCCCGCCCCTGCGCGCGCGGCCCCGGTGCCGATCCCACCCCGGCTTTGCGCGCGGGCGGGAACTTCCCGCTGTGCCCGGCGCCGCGGGCATTTTGCGCGTAGCCTAGGGGACCCGCCCCGGAGCATCGTCCCCGGCACCGAGGGTCCCTCCCTCTTCCGCGGGGGTCCCTCACCTCCTGGTAGGGCACTTGCACGCAACTCGTCCCCACCTGCCCCACGGCACCCTCAACTTCAGCTCCCTAGAGAAGGGGTCCCTCACCCGCCCACCGCGGGCCCCTCCCTCCCTCCATCCGCCTCTCCCCCCTCCCCCAGGCCCCGCGGACGAACGGCTGGGGGAGCGGCTGCCGCCTCCCCGCACTCTCCTCGGGCTCTGCCGCTGGGGCCAGCATGATGGAGGCGGGGGCCGTGGTGGGCGCCCAGGCTGCTTCCCTCGCCCAAGGATCAGCGAGGCCTGGCGGGTTGCGCGGAGAGGGCAGAGGACTGAGCCAGGGGCCGTGTGTGGACGCCAGGGGGCAGCAGCCGCCCTTGCTCGCCGCCCGGGACTCTCGGCGGCTGAGATGCTCCCGGGAACACCCCGACGGCGCCGGATTCTGCCGGCCCTCCCCGCGGTTTTTGGGTCGATCTTGTAAGAACTTCAGTTTTGGGGAGAATTGACAGGGAGCTAGACTGAGCGGTCGCGTCCCTTTCCCGCGGCGCCAGCGACGGAGCTGGTGGCGCTGGGACCCTCGGGCAGGGGTCCCTGCTGTCCCTACTCGCCTTCATCTGGGTCTCTTACCGAAACCCCTTTTCGGGCCAGGGCGGCCGGCCAGTCCCAGGCCGCCAGGGCGCCAACAGCCTCATGCCTCCCCTGCTTCTCTCCAGGCCGGCGCGTCCCCTTGCTCTCTCCGGAAAACCTGGGGCACTCCCGGTTTGTTTTCGGGGGTCTGGGGTCTCAGGAAACTCCTTTGTATTTTTCTTTAAAAATGATTTTGAAGAGCCCCGTAAGAAATAAAGACTCCCAAAGGTCCGCTCTCCACGTGGGCCGAGTGATTCCAAATACTGCACAGTCACCAAACCCCACTACCCGCTCAGGGGCGACTTAGGGGCGAGAAAAACACTACTGTCCGGGCCCACGTGCGTTTCGCTCCCTCCGAGCCCCGCAAGCGCTCCCGGGGGCCGCCCGCCAGGTGCATCCCCAGGGACCCCCACGGCGCAGGGTGCGGCTCCGCAGGGCGGAGGAGGCAAAAATGGGCTCCGACGGGGGCGGGAGGGAAGATCGGATTGGGGTAACTCGCGCCTTGGAAAGGTCAGAGGGGGCTTCTCCTGGGCTCAGGCGGCTTGAAACCCTAACCCCGCGAGAGGCTGTGGGTCGGGCTCTCCGCAGCAGCCTCCCCGCGGGCGTCAAGTTCCCTTCCTGAACGAGAAGACAGGTTCAGCGATAGATGCTCCAAGTGTAGCCTTTCAAGGGCAGCACCGTGGGCGCTACTTAGGTGAGAGTCTCAACCAATAAATACACCCCAAATTCCAACGCGGAGGACGATGATAGTAGCAAGGAAGAGCCTTTGCTGATTTATTCTCAATCCCGCCGGGCTCTTGGGGTTCCCGGAATGGGCGCAGGCTGCAGCTGCGCTGCGCACACCTGAAGACCAGAAGCAAAGCGCTGCGTCTTCCTTACCGAGGAACTGAAACGAATGGAAAGCAGACAGCCTGGGACTCAATTTAGGGGCACCGGCAACGCTTTAGTGTGAGGGGCTTTTCTTACGGATATTATAAAATTCAGAAACATCGTGTAGGAAATGAAGACATCCTTTCCACCAAGAGCTCTCATTTCAGCGGCAGTATAGAAGTTCCCTCCTCTCCCTCCCCAGCGGGGAAATGGAAGGAAACATTGCCCCGCTCACTCCCAGGGTTCCCCTGGAATACCCCTGACATTTCCTTTTGTCCTCATACAAAATAAAAGCACAAGAAGCGGTATGTTGGGCGGATGCTCTGTGACAGATTCTCCCCAATTTGCTCCACAGGGGAAATTTCAGAAAGGTTCCTAACAGAAATGGAATGTGAGTTTTCACAGGGAATTTTAAAAGTAAGTATGTGGTTAGTTGAAAGGACAATAAAGGAACAGCTCATTGATGTTTTTCTTCTACAACTTTAGGTAAATGTGTAACTCTAGGTGGTCTCAGAAAATATCTAAATATTTTACATTTTTCCTTTTCAAAACCCTCTCAAAAACAAAATATGCGTAAAGTTGGGATTTGAGTCTTCATCATTCTCTTAAAATCACAATCCCCCCTGTGAGCAATATAATTCTAAAATTACATTTCTAAAAATTTAATATTTCTAAAAGAATTATTTGTATTTTCAGTACCATTTAAATGAAGATAAAACCCAGAGAATGTCTTCTGTCAGTGGCTCTGAACCCCCTTGCCGCAGTCGGTGCCAATGTCACAGGGAAGGGACCTTCAAAAGGAGGGTGACTTGTGTGCAGTGACCTGCTATGTGCACCGCCCAACTTTCAACCCTGGGGTTCAATTAAACATGTTTTTTCCTGCCTCTGAAGGGGCTTTGCGATTATTTCCCTTTTGAAATCTCCTTCCATAGTTCTTCCACCGCATCCTCCTCCCTGTGCCTGTTTCCATGGGATACCATAGTTGACGGGTGAGTATTTCACTTCACCTTCATAAAGCTCGGTTGTGCAGCTCCCAAGTGGCAAGACTGAGAAAATTCCAGAACTAGTCTTCTGCAGATTTAGGGATGCGCAGCAAACATGTTGCCCTCCTAAAGAGAGTGCGTGACCACGTCCATGACACGGGTAGTAAACTGGTTTATAACATGCAGAAGCCAAGCTCTGTTTTTTTATTTTCTTTCAGAGTCGTATAGAGTCACCGAGTCACAGCCGATTCTACCTGTGGTAAGCACCGCAGCACTGAGGGCATCATTTAAGGTTTCATGGGAACGTTTTATATGGTTTGACAATTACAATACAGAAAACAGCCTTTAAGTATTTTTGAATCAGCAAAAAAAAAAAAAAAAAAGCCTTAATTATTTGGTTAGTTTATATCATGTTATTTATAGGCTACATAGATAAAATCACATATATGCATATATATGAATGTGCATATTTTATAAAAGCATAATTGGGAATCTAACATACCGTGAATGTCTCTAGATGGATTCATTCCATGTACACATTCTGAAAGAATAGAAAGGAAAAAAAAATAATTGGATGACTGTACTGTCAGCGTACACCAAGTTGACCGACAGTTGGTGAATTTCATTCTAATTGCAGTAAATGCAAATATAAAAACTAAATTCCCTCTCTAATTTTTTTTTTTTTGTTAGCTCATTTCCTCTCACATTTTTTAGGACTGGAGATTTTTTATAACACGTTGTCCAGCTTTGGCCCCAAAATAGCTTAAAACAGTAAATCAGCAAATAAAAATGAACTGCTACAGAGGCACGTGGTTTTCTGTGCCTTCAGCCAACGTTGTCCACCATCGGCTAATGCTGACTCTTCATCGATCATAGAATCACCTGTGCTTTACTGAATGAACATCACACACACATTTGGAGGGCGGAGGAGTGACTCAGAATGCAAGGTGAAATTACGCAAAAACATTTACAAATCTGTAATGGGGAAGAGTCTAAATCATTTACTTCCAGCGATAGGGCGTTTTTAGACTTCTTCCCTCCTTGCTTGCGTTTCCTTTCCCTTTGCTACGAGGGCAGATTATTTGTACTGAAATGTCTCATTCTTGAAATAACAGATGATATCAATTATTACTGAAAATAATGATCATATGATAACTTTCAAATAGGAGTCACTTACTATATGCTGCTGCGTGTACAGTTATAGCCAAATCCCTTAAGGAAAGCCATAGGAAGCTCTTTCTCTTTCCCTTGAATATCTACATGCAACGTTCTGAATTTGAAATGACTCCGTCAGCTCCACATGTTGACAATGGCCGGCACTCAGAGATGAAGCTGGAGGAAACACCGTTTCTCAAAGCCTTAGAATTCGGGCATTTCCAATACTGCAGTTTTAAAGCTTTCAACTCCACTGCATACTATTGGTGTAATACAGCTTTTAAAAACTTTTAAAACTAAGAAAGGAGGTAATTACTTCAGATTTGCAGACGCTGTTTAAACAGGCAGGAGAACAAGACGGGCAGCTCCCTGGTCTTATATTTTTGCCAAAGCAGAAAAAGCAACTAGAATAATAAGGGTTCTCAAGGGCTGCCCTGTGCTGAAAGATGAAAGGAGTTACACATGGACAGGCTCGAAGGAGCAGCCCCAAACACTGAGATTGTGGTTGACGTGCACCTAAAATGACTCCAAAAAGATGAAAAAAAATATATCAGGACAGGGAAGGAACCATCTGCACTAATTATGAATGGTAAGGTCAAAATAAAAACGACAAAGGTCCCCTGGAGTTAGTAAGGCCAGTTCAGTAGGTCGGGTTCAGGACAGGGACCGCAGTGGTTTGACCGACCAGGCAGCTGACTTGAGGGCGAAGACGCCCAGTACGACCCTCCATCCTGAGGGTTTTTTTGTTGAGACCCTGAGAAGCCATTCCACATCCGACGGCGAGAAGCAGGAGCAGCAGGGTGAAAAAGAAGTGTTTTCTCTTATGGACCTAACATTGCAGTGATTCTGAGAGAAAAGCCAAGGCTTTTTTTTAAACCAAAAAAAAGGCGAAGGTAAGTAGATTTTGAATGGTGTGCCTAGGGTCTGTTGACAGTTTCCTTAGTTTGCCCTGGCTCAGTGGTCTTGAAAACAGAGCTGATGTCGTTAGGCTGTTGGCAGGAGGGAGAGAGGGAGGGCAGGGAGGGGACAGGCGCCCCAGGTGGAGCAGCACCGTGGAGGTTCGCAGTGATTTGCCCAAGGAACTGTTACAGGTGCTGGAACCCGAGCTGTAAGGGAGGAGAGGTCTGCGGGCTCCCTCGAGAGCAGCCGCACCTCCTGGCTGGTCCTCCGGCTCCCTCTCCCCCTCCCTCTCTGTCTTCCAGGCTCACGTGCTCTCCACGGATACTAATACGTGCCAGGCAACAGCACTGCTTCTGTAGCCTGGCCTGAGCCAGTCCTTGCAACAATACTGTTTTACAGACGAGGAACCTCACACTTGGAGAGTTTAGGAAACTTGACAAGGGCGCTTCACTCTTGATCTCAGGCACACTCGCACACACATGCTCACACGCGTGTCCACACACGGCACTGCACGTATGGGGAGCTATGTCTCTTTCTGATCACAACTGTGTATTTTTATGGGTGTCCTTTGTAGAGCTCTGGAAAGTTAAACTCTGGTCTCATCTTTCCCCTTTATCCTCACTGTCTCACGGTCTCCATGGGACAGTATCCCTGAAATTCTTCCCCATGCAAATTTCAAATCTTAGGAGGCGTGTCCTGAAGTTACGTCTGGCGATCCACAGAGTTTGAGGAGCCGGTCAAGGTCCATTTGGCTGAGAGGCTTTTGGATTCGGAATAAATCTATAAAATGGATTTCTATTCTTTTCCTGCCTCCACTCTTTCCTAACGGCGACCGAGGGCTGCCCCAGGTGCATATTTGATTTTCCTCCTGGCAGATTCCCTCTGATGCTTCTCGAGTACCAGGCTCACGGGTGTCACGGCCGCTGACAGACACATGGGTGCAGGGTCCCGGGTGGTGGAGGGAGGGAGGGGACACAGAAGGGAGAGGGGAAGGCCCCTCCTGGTGGGCTCAGGAAAGCCATCCTGCCCAGCCCGGGTGGGACCCGGTTCGAGTCTTGGGCACGGGGCAGACCTTGCCCAGGTGGCTGGAGGTCGGAGGCCGGGTTGGTCAGGGTGGGAAGGAGCAGGAGGAGCGCGGCCCCGGGCTGCGGGATCGGCCTGGGAGACTCCTGAACTTGGGGAACAGGTCCGCCCGTCAGCTCTGGGAGAGCTGGAGCGCAGGCTTGGGACCTTGGGACGGGCTGGGGAGCGGCAGCTCGCACACGACACAGAGCTGGAAGACAGGAATGCGGGTCATATGCACTGGCACGACCTGGAGAAGGGTGAGCGTCAACGTAAGGGCAACTGGTTCTACCAGGGCTGTGAAGTCCGGGAACAAGGGGACCCGTGTGTCGTAGGGAAAGAAACCTGTGGGGGGGCGGGGTGGGTACGTGGGGGAAGCGGAGGGGATGGAGCTGCTGCGGGGGGTCGGACAAGAATCAGGAGCGTCTGTCAAGGTGGAGACGGGAGAGGGGAGCAGGGACGGCCAGAGCTGAGGACCGCCAGCCGTGGCCCAGGTGCCATCCGCAGCAGTTAGGGCCGGGCGAGCAGGGGCGGAGGGAGCCGGTGGGTCCAGCTGGGACGTGCAGAACGGGCTGTAGGGGCGGGGGGACAGCCAGGGGTTCGGGGCAGAGTCTAGAGCAGCCAAAGGCCCTCGTGTACCTGCCCGAGCTCAGGCTGCCTGGGGAAAGAGCCCGTGGACAGAGGAATCCTGACAGAGTCTCAGGTCATCATTCAAGGGATGGTCAGGAGAGGGAACAGCCACAGAGGCGGAGTTAGGAGGAGCAAGCGGAGAAAACAGGGCCTTAGACACCAGAGGACGGTGTGGGATTTGAGAGGAAAGGCGTGTCTCCAAGGCCAAGGCCGTGAGAATGCAGGCCGAAAAGACTGCATTGCCTTTGCCCACAGGGGAGACAGGGAGACTTCCGTTGGAAGAGTCAGTGGCGCGGGGGACAGGAAAGTGAATGGGGTGTGGGGAAGGCTGGCTGGTGCGGGCCAGGGGAGGGAAAGGGGTGCAAGGGTGGGGAGGAAACCCCGACATGACGTGCAAGGGTGCGTCAGATGGAAGACACGTGAGGAAATGAACACGTGACCACTGGCCATGTGTGTTTTACTGACCACTGCACTCATCAGCCGCGTCTTGGACCAGCTTGCCCTCCCCATTCTCCCAGTTTTCAGATTTAGATCGGGGACTCATCTGTGCCCCCAGCCACTCTGTTGCCAAGTCCTCTTTTGGTGTCTCTTTGTTATAGCCTGTCCCCCTCTCCATCCCTGTGGCCATCAAGTTCTGGTTCAAGTTCTCACAGCGTCTCACCCGGTCTGTTGCAAAGGGGTTTCCATTTACTTTCTACGGTACTTTTGGGTCAATCGTCCACCCCGCGGCTGGCAGATCGGGTCACATCTGAGTTTCTCTGTGCATCCCGAATTCCGGTCGCGCTCTGTGGCATGGTCCCGCAGGATTAAGGGCGACCCCCATCCCCATCGGGGAGGGGTTGGACCCGCTGCCTTCGGTGAGTGCCTTCCCCACCGCTTATCATCCTGGGGAGACGCTACCTGTGTGCTGATGATCGAGTCCCTTTCCCGGGTCCAGTGTCAGAAGGCCGCGTACCTCAGCTACCATCTCCAAAAGTCCTATCAGCGATAAGGCTGATATTTTGATCCCTGTCTGCCTGACTCCTTGGTCTAGCTCAAAGAGTCACCCCCTCTCTCCCTCCGACACAATCACGTAAACACTGCATTTGTACACCTTGTCCAGAATGCTGTCTTGCTGCTCTCTGCACCCCTAGCCAGTGCTGTGTGTTTCTGGAGCCCTGGGGACCTGGTTCAGGATGGATCCTCCATCAGCAGGTTTGGGGCGGAGCCTGAGATCCTGCACTGCCCACCCCGGGTGATGCTGTGGCTGGCGATTCAAGGACCACACTCAGACGCACCAAGGGCAGCTGCTTGGTATCCAGCAAAAACTGTGCCCCGCACGCACTAGACTGTGGTGTCTAAGAGGTTTCCATAAACAACATTGCCAAGTTGCTATCTCTGATTGGACAATTTTTTAATTTTTAATTTTTTTAAAGATCTTATGTGTTTATTTTTAGAGAGGGGAAGGGAGGGAAAAATAGAGGGAGAGAAACATCAATGTGTGGTTGCCTCTTGCATGCTCCCCGCTGGGGACCTGGCCCGCAATGCAGGCACACGCCCTGACTGGGAATCGAACCAGCGACCCTTTGGTTTGCAGGCCGGTGCTCAGTCCACTGAGCCCCACCAGCCAGGGCTGATTGGACTTTTAAACTAAAACTTGTGGCCCCCCCAAACCCATATGTTAAAGCCCGACCCCCAACGTGACGTGCGAGACCGTGGGGCCGGTGGGAGGGCATTCCACCCAGAGGGGAGAGTGAGGGCGGGGCGCTCCCGATGGGGTGGGTGCCCCTGCAGCGGGAGGTCTGCGAGCCTTCC